GGTGGGTATGACTTTTGTACCCATACCCGCCAAAGTAGGACCCATACCCGCTCTAATTGGGGCAAGTACGGTGCAAGACCTACATTTTAATACCCACTTGCCATCCCTAGTGGTGACACGTCACTTCAAACTAAAAAAATTACCTCTTTTATAGGTTATCGATCACTTGGGACCATTTTGAGTGAATCACCCCAAACGTTCGAATTATTTAAAATAATCCAAAGTTAGGATTATTTTGAGCAAATAGACAAAAAATGCAATTATTTTTCCAATTTTTTCGACAAGATAAAGGGCTTGGTAAGGAAATACCATTCTTGAAATCTTGAAAGTTTGCTTAAGAAGTGGAGGTTCAACCCTATATCAACTTTAACAGTGAAATGTGCTATATTTCAGTAGGTTAAGCTCACCTTGGCAAAATACGTATACACGTAATTCACTGCATTATTGTTGGAAAATTTTTTAAAGAACATGGGTGAAAAAAAAAGAATATTATAGACATATTTAAAAAACGCGAGCATAATATGTTCTTTGAGTTTAATCATTATGTTCTTTGAATTTGAACTATATTATATAATATGTTCTTCAATGTATGTACATAAAAAAAATGTTAAATTCAACCACCTGAGTAACCATGAAAAAGAACATGTTCTTTAATATATTATCATGTTCTTTTTGTAAAGAATTTATATTCTTTGTAATGCAGAGGTGATCATTTGGCGGCCCACGCCGGGTTTGGGCCAGGGCGAGGCCTATAAATTAGCGCACTTCTCGGATGGGATAAGGTCGAGCCAAAATTCGTGCCTGTTCACATCTACTGAACTGAGCTGAATTGAACTGATTTGATTGTAGCTGAACTGAACTGAACAGAACAAAACGGATTGGAGCTGAACTGAACTAAAGTAAGCTGAAATAAATATTTTATGAGAGAGGTAAATTAGGATTTGAACTGAACTGATTGGAGCTAAACTGAATTGAACTGATTGCAGCTGAATTGAACTGAAATTAAGTAAATGTGAATAGGCCCTTCGGGCTGAAATTTTTGTGCCCAAAATGGCCGGATTGTGCGGGATTTTCGGGCCATTTTAGACTGGGAAAAAAACAACAACTAAAAATGCATAAAAAACACATTCCCGAATCGCCCAAAAAAATAATTTTTTGGGTCGGGTCAGGCCTAACCCTATTTCAGGCCGAAAAAATTTGCCCAAAGACCGCTCAAAATCAGGTTGGGTTAGGCCGGGCCAACAGGTCCGGCTAAGTATGATCAGGTTTATTGTAATGCATGTCATGTTCTTTGTCAAACACAAACATGTTCTTTTGTCAAACACAGGTATATTCTTGTTCAAACACTAGTATGTTACTTTCAAACACTAGTATGTTCTTTTTTTCGTCCATATTCTTTATAGTATGACCAATATTCTTTTTGGGTGCACCATATGCATATTAGCGCACCCGGGTGCACTATAATACTCTCAGAGAAAACAAATTAGAAATGCCCTAACCCGGGCTATGAGAATACATATAAGCCCCTTATATAGCAACATAGGCTAAAAATGAAGGAACTTGGACTTCATTAAGGGATCGTTTGGTTGGGGGTATTCATCAAAGGGAATGGAATCAACTGCCTTTATTCCCTTTGTTGATGTTTTTTTTGACTTTTTTTTCTCATTCCCTTTACCCTTTTCATTCCCCAAAATCCTTCCAAGTTGATTCCTCACCCTTCCCCATGTATTTCTATTCCTATTCCTTAGCCACCACCACACCACCATACCACCATCCTTCTACCTAATCCAACAACCACCGCACCCATCGTCCCTCCCCCACCCTTCACCGCCCTTCCACCACCTCTCGTCGCCTCTCATCTCCCCCGAAATCCTACCCTCACCCACACAAAAACCAAAAAAAACCCTCCTACCTCCCCGTAAAACGGCCGATCGACCCTTCCACCACTCCCTAAACCCTAGAGTCTAGATTCCCCACCACTAAACCACCCCGCCGTAATCCCTCTCTGCCCTTCCCCTTTTCCCCAAAAAACCCTAAAAATTCCTCTCCTTCACCATCTTCACCATCTTCAACGACTAAGACCGACTGACACTGCATTAGAATACCCTTTGCCATCAGACTTAACTAGTTCCTCCACGCGCATCTTGAGCTGGTTGATGGTAGTAATTAATTGTATGGTGGTATGGTGGCACTTTCCTTGTCAAATGTGTATCTCTAGTCAATTTTGCAACCATTGTTGGGCTCTCTCGACGGCTAGGGTCTCGGGTGTGGGGAGAGGAGGGCGCTGGGTTGCGGTGTGGTGGTTGGGTGGTTGAGATCTTCACGGTGGTCGGAGAAAGAGGGAATTGAGAAATAAATTGGTAGTTTTGTGGTGGTTGTATGGTGGTTGTGATTTCTTTTGTTGTTTAAAACGAACAATATTCTAAATCAAATTGAATTACATTTTTTTTCCTTTCCCTTTGATGAACCAAATGACCCCTAATTAGTTTTCAATTATTTGAATTACTTTACATGTAGACCGATACTTCATTAGCCAATCAAGCAATCAAATACTTATACTAAAAGAAAACCTAAAATGACACTTGTCACGATGTCATTAAAAATTTTCCATCACTTTATTATTTCTTTATTTAACTATTATTTATATAAATATAATTATAGAAAATAAATAAATTTTACTTTTTAATTAATATAATAATTAATATTTTAGTGTATTTTATACATGTGTGATTTTATTATATAATATTATCAATAATAAGATTATATTACATAATATGCGGATTAACTAAAGATATAAATCTTATGACTGATGCAATTATTTTTCATTTTTTTTAAGAAAAGAATTAACGCAATATTTTGATTAGTGTTTAGTGTGTTGCTTATTTATAAGTGTAATTGATTTTATTGTATACATAATATTATCAATCATAAGATTCTATCATCAATAATAACTTATACTAAAAGAAAACCTAAAATGACACTTGTCACGATGTCATTAAAAATTTTCCATCACTTTATTATTTCTTTATTTAACTATTATTTATATAAATATAATTATAGAAAATAAATAAATTTTACTTTAATTAATATAATAATTAATATTTTAGTGTATTTTATACATGTGTGATTCTATTACATAATATTATCAATAATAAGATTATATTACATAATATGCGGATTAACTAAAGATATAAATCTTATGACTGACGCAATTATTTTCATTTATTTTATTTTATTTTTTTAGAAAGGATTAACGCAATATTTTGATTAGTGTTTAGTGTGTTGCTTATTTCTAAGTGTAATTGATTTTATTGTATACATAATATTATCAATCATAAGATTCTATCATCAATAACTATATACTATACGCGATACCGGGAATGACACATGTCATCTCCTAGTTAAAAAATTTCCCGCCCATATTACTTTCCTTTTTTTTTTTTACATAGATTCTTTAAGGAAATTATTTTATAATAATCCAAAATATCTTTCTTCCAATTAATATTCTTAACAATAATAATACCCTGTATACGTAGTAATTTATATCAGGTATTTTTTTTTGTAAAACAAAGAACGTATATTAGGTAAATATTATGTACAATACTGCTCTATATTATTTTAGTTTTCAAAATACTATTATTTTTTTTCTTCCAATTTTGTTAATTTTGCAATAATGTTTGATTCAATGAAAATTAAAATCATTTTGTTTACACACACATATATTCATATATAAACACTATATTTTCTACTTTTAAAAGTCGCGTCAATAATAACGCAGCACGCGCGAGGTACTATCCTTTGATTTTTGGGAAAATTGACCACAATAATCCAACCTTTGCCTCATCCGCTCAAAATAATCCCACCTTTCAATTATTTTTTAATAATCCGACTTTTAATGCCAATTCGCTGAAAATGGTCCCAAGTGACCAGCAACCTATTAAATATTTTTTTTTTGGTTTAAAGTTTACGTGTCACCACATGATTTGTCTAAAATTTTATATTTTTTTAAAAAATTAATAAATTTAGTAAAACAAAAAAAAAAAAAAAAAACCAACAGCCCACCCGCCCCCCTCCTCCAACCCTTGCTGAATTGAATCCCTAGCTACCAACGCTGGATTGAAGCCCTAGCCTCCACCGACAAATTTCTATTGTGGGTGGTTTCTCTGAAAAGGGAGGCCAAAATCGGGGCACGAGAAGATTAGGAGGCGGAATTCGAGGCAAGGGAAGAGGAGGGAGGCTGAAATCGGAACGAGGAATTGAAGAAGGGCCGGAATCGCGACTAGGAAGGAGTTTTTGAGGGTGGAGATGGTTTTAGTGGATCTTTTTGTGTGGTGGGGGTGGGAGGGTTGGTGGTTCGGGGGAGGGGAGGGGGTCGGCAACGGCATCAGCACCGACACTGGAGAGTGGGTTTGGTTGCCGGAGTCGCAAGCAAAGGAGTTATGCGGCGGGGAGGGTGGTTTGGGTTGGTGGATTTTAAATATATATTTTTTTCTTAAAAACATTTAACTTTTGTTTTTTAAAAAAATTATACTGTATTATTTTTTTAAAATTTTTTTGACCAATTATAGGCCAACAGTGTCACGTAACTTGTTATAACAAGTTAGCTAACCGGTTAGGACCATATTTAGCTGATTGATATCAATGGTCAGATTATTAAAAAATAAAAAGGTGGGATTATTTTGGGCGGATGAGGCAAATGTGAGATTATCGTAAGCAATTTTTCCTAGATTTTTAAAATTTTTTAAAATAAAACTTCATAGACCCTTTTTCTTTTAAATCAAGTCTAAGTGTCACTAATCTTGACAGTGGTATAACTAGGTAAGTTATATTTATTTTTGAATTAGTATTATGAATATAATATTTTTAATAAAATCAATACAATAACTGTTTATAAATTTAATAACAACCGTGTGCATTACACGGGACTTAAACTAGTTAAATCATAATTCTCAAATCTATGCATATCTTTTATCATAATATTTATCATTATTGATTAATTATTATAAAGGTTGTTTAGCAATCCACCCATTTTGGTTGATAAAAGTCTGCGTATCATATTGCCTAATTGCATAAGAATCTAACTTCTTTTCCCATGAAACACGTTTTGATGTATCAGCTCCTGGACCAGTGCAATTAACTTCTGCAAATGTCACATCGTTTCTGCATTTAACACAACGCTTATCGATAAGTTTGTAAGTCATGAACTCAAGATAAGTACTCTGTAATTGTTTTAGCTCAAAAGACCAAACAACAACAACAACAATAATATAGACCTAATTAGGCCCTATTATTTAATTTAAGTGTACGCATTAGCTCATTTAACTAAAAGAGTTATGTATTTAAAGAATTTGATTATAAAAACTTACTCATGTCCACTTTGATTCCAAATGAACCATCCCTCGGGATCAACAACTTTACTGAATTTTGAGTCGATGAAAATAACTCTTGCAAAGGCACCATATACTCGTCCTAACTCAGCATGCCCTGTTCCCGAAATATCACAATTTCTAAACACATAACCACTAGTATCATTTGCCGATGGTCGACTTTGTGCAGTAATGTAACCTCCTCCCGTGACATTTATGGTGCATTGCTGAAACATACGTAAAGAGTTACGACTAAGCATATGCAAATGGTGAGGTTCAAACTTACGACCTCAATGTCACAAGGTGATTTCCCCCATCTCTATCAAACATGTTTGGTTATATATATATATATATATATATATATATATATATATATATTTCCCCTGTCACTCGGGGGTGGTGGAGATGGAATGACTAACCATCCTTCCACTCCTTGATCCTTACCTATAGACATATCTACTATACATATTACCTCTCTAATTTGTTTTTATGCAACAATTTGATTGATAGATTTGCTGCATCATAACTTTGAAATTTGTTGTGCGACAGCGGAAGCAAAGGTCGAAAACAAACAAGAAAACAATAAAGAAATTCAATGCAAACAATAAGAACAACACCAAGAATTTACGTGGTTCACTATCGATGTGATAGCTACGTCCACGGGCACCGAGATCGAATGATTTCACTATAAACTGCAAAGATTACAAAGATGATTCTTGTATTTCTCAAGAACGGCTCTCACTCTGTCTCTCTTAACCCTAATACTAATATTAGGGAGGTTTTATATTAATCCCTAAAATAAAAGATACTTGGGCAAAAAAATAACATAAAAGATAACTTTAAATCGTAAAATCCGCGTCTCCGCATTTTTCCTTCTCCGCCCGGTCAGACCGGGCAAGGTCTGCCCGATCGGGCGCGAGAAGAAAACTCCATACGAATGCTTCAACGTATCCAACCCCCACCGCCCGGTCAGACCGGGCAAGGTCTGCCCGATCGGGCGAAGGCTCGCCCGGTCGGGCGAAGGCTCGCCCGGTCGGGCGCGAGAGCAGCTTCTTCAACGAATTTGCCAGGCACCTCTTCTTCTTCCGCCCGGTCAGACCGGGCAATGTCCGCCCGATCGGGCGGACAAAGCTACGAAGTACGAGTCACCTAATATACTTATCAACAATCTCCACCTTGACGAGAACTCGTAGTCAGCAAACGACCCCATCAAGACATAGTGAAAAAACATCTCAAGCCAAACCCGATGCAGGACTCATGCATAAGCCATACATCCCGATAAGTCTTCAACCAAGACCCATCACATACTCGTCTCCAAGTATAACAACTCATAATGCTCCACCTGCATCACAAGCCCCGGGCAAGCTCCACCTTAAGGCCAACACACCTACACCAGGAGCTCCCCAACTTCGCCCCTCAGGGCCTACTACATCACGTAGTAATCAATATTTAGCAAGTCTAAGCAATGTTTAAACTTGCTAAACGGAACAGGCTTAGTGAAGAAATCAGCCGGGTTGTCAGCAGTCCCAATCTTCTTCACCTTAATCCTCTTGTCAGTACGTAAGAAATGATACCTGACATCAATGTGCTTCGTCCGATCATGGTGTACTTGATCTTTAGCTAAGCAAATCGCACTTAGACTATCACAATACACTGTAGCAAAATCCTGTGCAATACCCAGTTCACCTACTAGGCCTTTGAGCCAAATAGACTCCTTAGCTGCAGAAGTTAAAGCCATATACTCAGCTTCAGTAGTTGACAACGTAACTGATGACTGCAATGTAGACTTCCAACTAACCACAGAACCACCCAAAGTGAACACATAACCAGTCACAGACCTCCTGGTATCCACATCAGCTGCATAATCAGAATCACTGTACCCAGTGACCAAGCATTCCCTACCATTCCCGTACACAAGACCAATATCAGCTGTCCCTCTCAGGTAGCGAAAAATCCTTTTCACCCCTTGCCAGTGTTCCCTCCCAGGTCGAGCCATAAACCTGCTTACAACACTAACAGCATGCGCAATATCCGGCCTAGTACAGACCATAGCATACATCAAACAACCAACCGCGTTTGCATATGGAACTCTAGACATATAAGACAACTCCTCCTCTGATTGAGGTGACATAGACAAAGACAACTTACAACTAACAGTAGTTGGCGTACTTATAGGCTTCGATTTTTCCATCCCAAAACGAGACAGAATCTTTTCAATGTAGCTTTTCTGAGTCAAGAAAAGCTTACCTCTAGCCCGATCCCTGTAGATCTCCATACCCAAAATCTTCCTAGCTGCACCCAAGTCTTTCATGTCAAACTCCGAGTTAAGCATCTCCTTTAATCTAGCAATATCAGATTTATTCTTTGTGGCAACCAACATGTCATCAACATATAACAAAAGATAAATCATGGAACCATTATCCAGCTTACTATGATACACACAGCAATCATATGAATTCCTGTCAAAACCTTGTGAAACCATAAAAGAATCAAACCTTTTGTACCACTGTCGGGGGGATTGCTTAAGTCCATACAATGACTTTAGCAATCTGCAGGCATAGTGTTCCTTTCCAGGAACTTCGAATCCTTCGGGCTGCTTCATCAGAATCTCCTCCTCCAAATCGCCATGAAGGAAAGCCGTTTTAACATCCAACTGCTCCAGCTCAAGATCAAAATGTGCTACAATTGACAATAACACACGGATAGAAGTATGTCGAACCACAGGTGAGAATATCTCAACAAAGTCAACCCCTTCTACCTGACTGAACCCCTTAGCAACTAGCCTAGCCTTAAAACGTATTTGCTCAGTTTCCGACAACCCTTCTTTCTTCTTGTAAATCCATTTACAACCCACAAGCTTCCTCCCTTCCGGTACCTTTACCAGTTCCCACACTCTGTTCTTGTAAAGAGACTGCATCTCTTCACCCATTGCGGCAAGCCATTGCGCAGACTCACTACAACTAATTGCTTGTTTATATGTGGCAGGTTCAAATGACTCTACATCATCAGCTACACTCAATGCATAACCTGTCATCGCATCAACACAGCAATTTCTTCCCTCCATCTCTTCAATCAATCTAACAGGCTTCTTGATAACTCGTTTAGGCATCTCAAGAATGGTGTCAGGTTGACTAGATGACCCCTGATTAGATTGCTCCACCTCATCCCCAGAGTTAGAATGAGTAGGAGTAATCTCAGGTTCAGGAGTACCCGGCACTGGAACATCAGCATCATCATCAATATATTGTACCCGAGGTAAATCAGCAATGGTAGACTGATGTACCTCAAGTACCCCATCTGTCTGTAATAAATTGTCTCCTTCCCTTCTCAAATCTGAAATCTCTGCATTTTTAATTGAATACATGGTGTTTTCATCGAAAGTAACATCCCTACTAAGAATGACCCGACCCTCCGAAGGTGAAAAAATTCTAAACCCCTTCACACCATCCCCGTACCCAACAAAACACCCCTTCTTGGCTCGTGGATCCAGCTTACCCTCAATAACATGATAATAAGCAACACAACCAAAAATCTTCAAATTCGAAAAATTAGGCAGCTTACCACTCCAGATCTCAAACGGAATTTTGGAATCAATTCCAGAATGAGGACCCCTATTAATGACATAACAAGCTGTTAACACAGCTTCACTCCAGTACCTCCTCCCAAGCCCTGCATTAGAGAGCATGCATCGAACTCTCTCTAGCAGTGTCTGATTAACCCGTTCTGCTACACCGTTCTGCTGTGGTGTCTTCCTGACAGTATGATGCCGACCTATACCCTCATCTGCACAGAACTGATTAAACTCGTCTTTGCAAAACTCTAGCCCATTGTCCGTTCGTAGCTTCTTGATCTTCCTTCCTTGTCGATTTTCCACCAAAGCTTTCCATTGCTTGAAAACTTTGAAGGCCTCATCCTTTGACTTAAGCAACCTAAGCCATGTGTATCGGGACTTGTCATCAACAAATGACACAAAATAGTGGTAACCTCCCATACCTTCAACTCTAGATGGACCCCAGCAATCTGAATGGATGTAATCGAGCACTGCATCAGTAATGTGAGCACCCTTGCTGAACTTTGACCTGTGTTTCTTACCAAACACACAATGCTCACAAAATTCAAGGTTGGCAACCTTGACCCCGGATAGAAGACCCCTCTTGGACAATAGCTGCATCCCCTTCTCCCCCATATGACCAAGCCTCATGTGCCAAATCTTAGTCATCTCCTGGTGAGATACAGATGCGCAAACCGCAGAACTAGGCAGTGTAACACCCTCAAAAACATAGAGGGTGTTCCTTTTGATACCCTTAAGTACCAACTCAGAACCTCTGAAAATACACAACTCCCCATCTGAAAACACACCATTGTACCCCAATTCATCCAGGGTACCCAATGAAATCAGATTCTTTCCTAAAGCAGGAACATGCCGTACATTAGTCAAAGTTAACCTCCGCCCATCAACAGTCCTCAACCTCATGGAACCAATACCTGTGACCTTACATGGAGCATTGTTACCGACTATAACCATACCCCCATTGCGAGGTTCATATGTATCAAACCAATCTCGACGTGGACACATATGGAACGAACACCCCGAATCTAGAACCCAGTTATCAGATAAATCATCAGACCTAGCAGAACTGACTAATGCTAAATCTTCCTCTGAATTATAGCTCTCATTCGGTTTCTCTTCAACTACAGCAGCCTGGGACTTGTTTTTCCTCACCGGACAATTATTCCTAAAGTGACCCGGTTCTTTACAGTAATAACATGTTTTAGTAGTAGTTTTACTAGATCCATCCTTGCCGTTTCCAGCACCCGACCCAGCATTGTTCCCCTTGTTAAACCCCTTATTCTTTTTAGACTTTCCGGACTTAACAAACAACCCACTACCATTATCCCCATTATCACTCGTAGCTTTCATTCTGAGTTCCCTAGTATGAAGTGCTGCCTTCACTTCTTCTAAGGTTATAGAATCCTTACCAACAACAAAAGACTCTACAAAATTCTCAAAGCTAGACGGTAGAGATACAAGTAAAATCAACGCAGCATCCTCATCATCAATTTTAACATCTAAATTACGTAAATCAAGCAAAATAGAGTTAAGTTTTTCTAGATGTTCCCGTAAGGAAGTACCTGACTGCATCCGGAGGCTAAACAACCGCTGTTTCAGTAATAATTTGTTGGTCAACGACTTAGTCATATACAATGACTCCAGCTTCAGCCACAATCCAGCCGCCGTTTCCTGATCAGCCACCTCCGTGATGATTTGATCATCAAGACTAAGTAATATGGTAGAGTGTGCCTTCTCTTCCATAACTTCTAACTGCGAGTCAGTCGGTCCGTCTCCTGACTCCGAAGTAGTACTCTTTGGAGCCAACGGACGCCATATCTGCTGTTGTTTTAACAGAGCCTTCATCTTAATTTGCCATAGCCCGAAACTATTTTTCCCGGTAAACTTCTCAATTCTTATTGTTGAATCTCCTGCCATTGTTATCTTCAAGAAACTATCCAAGGATTGAACCTGAGCTCTTGATACCAATTGTTGTGCGACAGCGGAAGCAAAGGTCGAAAACAAACAAGAAAACAATAAAGAAATTCAATGCAAACAATAAGAACAACACCAAGAATTTACGTGGTTCACTATCGATGTGATAGCTACGTCCACGGGCACCGAGATCGAATGATTTCACTATAAACTGCAAAGATTACAAAGATGATTCTTGTATTTCTCAAGAACGGCTCTCACTCTGTCTCTCTTAACCCTAATACTAATATTAGGGAGGTTTTATATTAATCCCTAAAATAAAAGATACTTGGGCAAAAAAATAACATAAAAGATAACTTTAAATCGTAAAATCCGCGTCTCCGCATTTTTCCTTCTCCGCCCGGTCAGACCGGGCAAGGTCTGCCCGATCGGGCGCGAGAAGAAAACTCCATACGAATGCTTCAACGTATCCAACCCCCACCGCCCGGTCAGACCGGGCAAGGTCTGCCCGATCGGGCGAAGGCTCGCCCGGTCGGGCGAAGGCTCGCCCGGTCGGGCGCGAGAGCAGCTTCTTCAACGAATTTGCCAGGCACCTCTTCTTCTTCCGCCCGGTCAGACCGGGCAATGTCCGCCCGATCGGGCGGACAAAGCTACGAAGTACGAGTCACCTAATATACTTATCAACAAAATTCAATATCCATAATTCTATACCAGTAATATTAAAGAAAATTTGATAAAATTTAGATATTGACTAATCGAATACCATATTGCACACTAGCATGTGATTTTTGTATATTAGTAGTGAAAAATCAAGTTAGAGTTAATATATAAAAATGCAAAAGTTGAATTGTTGCATAAAGGCCTTGTTTAGTTCACTTTTACTTATTTCGGAAAAAATAAGTTCATATCAGATCAAATCAGAATAAATAAATTCTGATCAGAAAAAATAAGAACAAATCATCGTTTTAAATTATCATCTAAAAATGAAACCATTTTCGAACTAACCACCCGTCCACCCGTTTAATTTTTTAATTTTAAATTACTACCCCTTAAATTAAATAAATGCTAAGATTACCACTCATTTCAAAATTTCGGTGGATTTCCGTCTATAGGCCTTTCCTAACACTTATTTTGACCTTATGACTGATTTCCCCCTCGATTTTTCTCTTTAAAAACGCTTTCTAAACTTTAATTCACATTTTCTTCACCAAATTCTACCAAATTCCAAAGAGAAAAACATGAATTGAAGTTTGGAGAGCGTTTTTAAAGAAAAAAACGGAGAAAAAATCAGTCAAAAGGATCAAAATAAGCGTTCGGTGGGGCCCACAGACGGAAAATCCACCAGATTTTTGAAATGGGTGGTAATCTGAGCATTTATTTAATTTAAGGTGTGGTAATTTAAAATAAAAAATTAAACGGGTGGTTAGTTCGAAAATGGTTACATTTTTGGGTGGTAATTTAAAAATTTTCCTATATTTAATATGAATTTTTTTTTGAAAAATCACATATTAATAAAATACACATATTACTCAAATTTAACAAGACCCCACTAAATTTATTTTTTTCATATAGATTATCGTATATTTAAGGTCAAAGTTCGGTCAAATATGACATTTAGATCAGATCAAATCAAATCAGACCAGATCATATCATATCAGATCAGACCACACCAGACCAAACCAGATCAGATAAGTTCAGATAAGCAATAATAAGGCAAGCCAAACAAGGCCTTAAACATAAATAGATGAAGTAAATAGTACTGTGTATATTTATAATTTACCTCATATACAGATTGACCATTTCCAAATATAAAATCAACAGCCCCTTCAATATAACATGATTTGAAATAATGTCTACCATGATCATCCCAAAGTGTATCTTGATATCCCACAAATCCACAAGAATAAAATGCATGCTTGTCACCATAAGATCTGAGGGCAACGGCTTGAGTTCGCTGCGTATCATCTAATAGTGCTCCAATTCTAAAAGAGTTCTATTAGAACAAAATTACCGGACATTTGAGAATTAGTTCATCTATCCATGTACAAAACATTATATGTTCATATCGATTAGATTTTAATTAGTAAGAAGTACAAAATTACAAATGGATAAATTTGTAATTATATTCTTTACAAAGATACAATAAAATTCTTCATGCCTTGTTTTTTAATAATTGTAACACACATTTTTTTAATTATTTTTTTACGATATTCAAGAAAAGTGGGGTTTATATGATTTAATACTTGTATATTTTAAAATAGGGCAAGAGGTTATTACAAGTATAATTTAGTAGGTCATGTACTTTAAATAACGGAAATAGTAAAACTTTTCCTCTAAATAACTTTAATTTCCTATTATAGTATGTTGCAAGTATTGTGACATTTTCATTTTAGGAAACTGTTACAAGTATTAAGAAACGCAGGAAGTATTTATGATAAAACGTGTAAGCCAACATAGGGTGTCCACATAAAATATTTATGCATCATTTATTTTTTGGTCACGTTTTTTTACAAAAATTTAATGGTTAGTGTACATATATGGAAATATTGAAACACACATCTATAAATATAACTAAAATAATTACCGCTGATGTTATTATTTTCTAAATGTCAACTTCTTGTAAAAAAATTTCCCTCCAAAACTAATAATGACATCATTAATTTTTTTTCAACATAAATAAAAATTTGAAAAAGCTAAATTAATTATATATTTTTCTAATATATTTTATATTTGAATTGACTAAATTATGCAATTTTCCTTAGAGAATTAAAGGAAGGTCGGACTATTTCATTTTCTTATAAACATTACGGAGTATCTTTTTCTCATACTCCATATATTTTATACAGATTAATTGAATTGCGGTGTCCACTCTTTATCAATTTATTAGATTTTTCTTAAATTATTTCTACTACGTACATATTACACACAAATAAGCAAAAAAATATTGTTGAAGTCGTAAATTATTGTTAAACTCGTGCATCGCACGAGTCTAATCTTGTTGGTGCATAACTGCATGTCTAGTAGTAACAAAATAAGCCGCAAGAAATAAGAGTAATGAAAAAGTATGAACTCAAAATATAAGATACGGGAAAGACGGAGTACTAAATAAATGAATATAGTAACAAAATACAAAATACGGAAATTTGAATCGTTTTGTTGAAAGTCTAACTATACCTAAAAATTTACTATTGGGAAATAAAACGTGAATAATTATTTATATACGGCATAATAATCATAAAATGAAAATAAAAAGATGAATTACCTTAAAGGTGACATTCCTAGCTACAAAATTGTCGATGTACAAAGCAAGAGTAACGCTTTCTAGTGTTGAAGAATGATTATCATAGGTTATTATTGTTGAAGTAAGATCGCTACCTTCAAGAATTATACACCCTCCTTTATCTTGTTGAACTATTATCTGCTCCCTACATATACACAAATAACATCAATAATCGATCCATCTATCTACATGTTAAGTATCTAATTAAAAATGGGCATAGGTAGAAAATAAATATACAAAGTGTATTATAACAAGTATATGCATATACATTGTATGTCTGTATATACATTTCATGACTTACTTATAAATTCCGGGATTAAGCAATATTTTGATCCATTTATTATTGCCGGAAGGAATAGAATTAAAGGCATCTGTAAGGGTCGTGAAATTTGCGCCACCTGATTGTGAAACGGTGATAGTATGAGCTATTGATGTATCTTGGCATTCTGTAGCTCCAGATAACAAGAAACAAACATTCTGAAAGCTAAAATACAATGCAATTAATAGAAATAAAAACTTCATACTTGAAGGAAGAGGTTTGAATTAATATTATTGAGACAAGCTTAAGCAAGACTCAAGAGAAAGGTATTAACCGTGACTTTTACAATGTATTATGTGAAGTATTTAAAGAACAATGGAGATTAAGTGAAATAATTAGAATTGGAAACGTATCAATTAAAGTCATCAACCTATTAATTTTCATGCATGAATTTGTAACAACTAAATCATGATACTTATTATCCAATCAGCTGCTCTAATATTTTTTTAATATATATATTTCTATTAATGTCCAAAGATATATATATTTCCATTTCTGTCTATGTTATCATATACTGATTTTGTTATATTTGTTTTTCATGAAATGAATTTGTAGATACTTTTTATCCAATCAGCTCCTCTATCATAATTTTTTAATACTCTTCTATTTATGTCTATAAAAATACATCATTTCTATGAATTTGTTGCTTTGATACTGATTTGTTACATTGTATTTAGTTAAACTAATGATTTACTTCATGAATACTCTATTAGATGGTCAAATACGTAACACTTATATAGTTACTAGTTTTGTGCCCTATGCATTCTCAGGGTTCTTTATTGAATTTTAAGATAATTTTTCAATTTATATGTCAAATTTTAAAATATATCATTGATACAAATAGTTAGGAATTGATGTGTTTTTGTGACAACTTTCTATTTGGTAGGCATATAATGACTAATAATAATGTTGGTGACAATGTTTGATTAAATACATTTAAAAAAAATTGTTCAAAGCCCGTTGGCTTGACCCGAATCAAATACTTTTGGCAAGCTAGGGTTGAACATTTCTTGACCGATAACTTGAAGTGACCTTATCCAAAATGACTCATGATCAGATCCTGATTGACATTTCTGAAGGATTTATGTCTTCGATAAGTGCAATTACTAGATATATTAGGGATCACTATTATGGAGATAATAAGTTCGTTCTTTTGGGTCGTCATTGTTTGGTACTAGATATGACAAATGATCTTTGGGCTAGTTAAATAATCCAAAGCCCAATAGAATAGATCCTATAAGCTCACATAACAAGGGTATTGGGTTAAACAAGTAAGAGGCCCATTAATGAGCCTTATGAGATTATGACATACCATATGGAGTGTTGGGATAGAGGTTTTTGACCAAGCTTAGGAGTTTGGACTTGACATGGGCTCTTATTTAGAGTTATGATCTATAAATAAGATCTATGCCTAGGGTTGACATAAGTCACAATTAACAGTCAGTCAATTGTGAAACAAGGCAACTAGTATTCCAAACCCTAATCCATCTCTCTCTCCTCACATACACGGTTCTCTCTCCTCTCCTTCACGTCTGTACGGCCGGCCACCTCGATTAAATACTTTTAAAAAAATGTTCAAAGCCCGTTGAGTTGACCTGAATCAAATACTTTTGGCAACGGTTGAACAATTAATTCTTGACCGGTAACCTGAAGTGACCTTATCCAAAATGACTCATGATCCGACTCTGATTAATATGTCTACATAGTAATAAAATCAATTAAACTGTGAACTATATTATTTCAATCGATTAGAATACAGCAGTGATGTTTTACATTTTGAACTACTTCCTTCGCTCTAAAAAATATTATAATAAGGAAAATAAATTTATATGATACTTATTGAGAAATATAATCTAATATTTTTTTGAATAAAATTATAATTCAATTTGTACATATGAAATAGTGGTATTTTATCAAAAATAAAATTCTAAATTAACAATTTTATCCTAAAATTTTATGCAAATTTGATTGAAAATAAAATTTTAAACTAATTTTTTATCCTATAAAGCCTATCTAAATCTATCCAACGTGGCATAACACTTGGCGAAAAATTGAAATGCCAAGTGTCGCTATCTCGTGGCCTGGCTAAAAGTTTAACTTTATATATTAGTTACGATTTTTTCATTTTCTCTGAACATCTAAGAAAATGAAAGTTACACGTTAAGACTTAAGAGAATGGTTATACATAATAACATGCCTCTTTGATTTTTCTTATTTTTTTTCTTTCTTTTCTACCTCTCTAGATCCATCATTTGTATAAAAATATTGGCATTTTATTGAAAACAAAATTCTAAACCAAAAGTTTTATTGGAAATAAAATTGTAAACGGAAAGTTTTATCAAAAATAAAACTCTAAAATAACTTTTTTGTTATCCTACTAAACAGTAAACACTAAGTTTCATATGTGGCTGGCCGCACCTTACGGCCAGCCGTAATATATATATATATATATATATATATTCTCTTTCTCTTCTGTATCTCCTATTCTCTTTCCAGTTTTCTTCTTCCCACTTAAACACACCCTTTTCCCGAACTCTCTTCTATCTTTCCTCTCTCTCTCCTCTTTCTCTCTCCTATTTTCATCTTCTCTAGTTAGCCTAATCAAATTAAACAAGTTAAATGGAGCAGCGGTGGTAGGGGGTAAGGAAGCTCCTCATACTTCGTCGCCGAAAAACAAGCTAGGGGTTTTTAAGGCCAAATTCATCCATGAAAACTTTGGTAGTGGGTTCGGTTTGGTGGATCTGGGCTTGCTGATTTTTGTAAGGTTTGGTTGGATCTAGGAGTGGTTGTTAGTGGTACGGGAGTTGGTGGTGGTGTGGTGGAGTTTAAGGTTTTGAAGACGGCGGTTGAGAAAGGTTGGTGTTGGTGGTGGTTACGGTGGGTTTGGGTGTGGGTTAATGGTTACTAGGTTGGTCAGGGGTTACTTGGGTTACTAGGTCGGGGTTACTAGGTAGGGGGTTACTAAGGGTTACTAGTTCGACTTGGGGTTACTAGGGGTTACTAGGTTAAGGGTTACTAGGTCGGGGGTTATTAGGGGTTACTAGGTCTGTCGGGGGTTACTTGGTCAGGGGTTACTTTGTCTAGGGGGTTACTTGAGGGGTTATTAGAGGGGTTACTTAAGTGGTAATATTTGAGGGGTTACTGATATTGCACCTTGTCGCACCGTGTGGCTGGCCGCACCAAAAACGTGCTGCCTACTACATCATCTAAATTTTATTGAAAATAAAACACTAAATAACTTTTTTTATCCTATATATTAAATCTATTCAAGTTTTTTATCCAATTCAACAAAAAATATATTTCAATAAATCCTACGTGTCATATTAATAATGAATTATCACCTACGTGGCACGACACTTGGCGAAAAGTTGGAATGCTAAGTGTCGCTGTCTCGTGATCTGACTAAAAGTTTAACTTTAGATATTATTTATATGATATGAATTGTGTAATCACTTTTTAATTACTCGCCTTTCAATTATCAAAACTCTCAATTAATTATTATTGCATGAAAAGCAAATAGTTATATAACTATAAGTAGTTTAAAATAATTTATTTTTTAATGGAGTTTTAAATAATTTTATTTGACCCAATACAAAATTAGCTTCATAATATAGTTATTTAAAATATATTTCTACTTTCAAAAACTACTACTTCAAAATGTTGTAAAAATAATTCATCAATGCCATTTGTACCTTGCATTATTTCTTCCTCCAATGCATATAAATTGATGAATTGTAAAAATTTCATATCATTATTGCAGGTTAATTGTATCAAGTATGATTATTAGGATAAAACTTAGCTTTATATTATGTATTCATTGATTCTTCGCTTGATTGCATACTTGATCTAGTAAATAATACAGATTAACATTAACATATGATTGCTCATAAGATTTTTGTAATTGATTCCAAAATCATTTATACAATCTAACAGAATGTTATAATTATTGAATATTATTATCTTTACTGCAGTTTTTTTTTTGACAACGGTCGGTCCAAAAAAGAAGGTTAGTTCACAACTGATTCGATACTACATTGAGCCAACTTAACTCTCTTAACTATACTAGTACAAGTGCTAAAAGGAGATTTGGGGCACAAACATTGTGGATTGATTGATAATACAAAGAAGAGGGTTGAGGAGATCATCGCCAGTACTAGCCATAAGTTGTTCCACACTTGATCCCTGATGTTTCTTGATCCTGCAAAAACAGATTTTGTAAAACCTTTTACCTTTCTTGTTATTTACCTTTGAGCTGATAGGCCTTTTAATTCTTCCTTCACAAAGTAGAAAACTTGAAAGTAGATAGTGGAGGATGAGACTACACTTGGTCGGGCTCAAAATTCACGGAGTCTCCATCATTAGAACCTACGGATTCCACTTCAACAATGTCAATGGTAGTTAAAACTCTCGTAGCATCTTTACTCCCTCTTCGATACTTGAACCCTCGTTGCTGCTAGAGGTTAGGAAAGTAGATAAATGATCATATATCTAACTTCTCTATGGCAGCGGTGTTGGGCTTGGGAAGCCCAACAACATGGTTAACCACGACGGTATCAAAAGATCGCTTGACCTTTTTCTTTTGGCTCTTCCTAACGCGATTGCTTTGTGAGCTTCAAGATACCCGTTATGGGTGGTCTTTTCTTTCACTCGTACAATCATGTATGAAATAGCAGAACCTTTGAAGAAACTCAAGGAATTCCCTTGATTGAGATCTGAGTATGAAAAATCGGAAATCTTAAGGGACTTATATCATATATTCATTAGTTTGGTTGATAAGGCTCTGGATTTTTAGGGGGGCTAGTGGCATTCTCTTCCCCCTTAAGGCTCTCTAACCTCATCTCACTAGTAGCATCTATAGTAGTTAAGTGTGTAACATCACTCTGAGCATCACTGCTAGGCAACATGTTAGGTTCTAGATTACAAAAGGGCTAGTTGATCTTTCCCTTTTTATTGGAAAAGGCGTAGGATGGGTCGGAATCTTCAATTCCCCTCTTGCCCTTGAGCTTACTAGCTTTGCTTCTAATATTTTCCACCGTTTTCGTCTCACGGAGGATGTCTTGGTTGTTAGTGTAACATCCCCAAATCTTCTTCTAAGAAAATATTGGTATAATACGTATAATTATACCATAGCGATAGACTTATTAGGCGTATTACCACCGCGTGACTACGCAAAGCTACTCAAAATACTTAACTCGATAACAAAACTTGCAGCGGAAACTCAACTTTCTTTTATTAATACTTATAAAAATTGTAACATTGTTATGACTAATCAAAATAAGGACAAAACCAACATCTTATACTAGGTGAAGCAAATCTCGAGACTCCTATATGCTCATTAATGACTCCATCTGAAAATAGTAAACACTGCTTACCATTAAGGTAAATAGGGTGAAGCAAAACAAAAACAAATAGGAAATATGGATTAGAAAAATATGCTAAGTACGATAAGTACAAGATAATATAAACTCTATTTATTTGCAAGCATGTTTTTAAATCCAATTCCAATTATTAATCCAATAATTCCATAATTCCAAACTCATTATTCAAAACGAATTTCAATAATTCCATAATTCAATAAAACGATTAATAAAACCAATTCCTCTTTTTAAATCCAATTCCTCATCCAAGCGTGCACCCCCCCCCCCCCCAAGCTAGTCTCCTTATATTGCAAGACTATTATTGAAGAAAGACTCGGTCATACAAATTTCAGAGTCTTATCAACCAAATCCGCATAGTGGGATTACTATCAACATGCTTGTAAAGCTTTATATAATAATAATAATAATAACAATAATAATAGCAATAATAATAATAATAATAATAATAATAATAACAATGATAATAATAATTCAATAAATCCTTTTTAATTCAATAATTCCAATCTTTATAACAACCAACTCAAAACACCCTTTTATTTAATTCAACATGCTTTCAAAAATCAAACCTTTAAAATGTGATAAATAATTTCAATTATTCAAAACATGATATAAAAATCAATCCTTCAATTTAATTATTAAACCAATTATTTAAAAATGCTTTTATTTCATAAATCATAATTCAATTCAATTTAATTCAATCATCATAAAATCATATAAAACATGCTCATTCAATCCAATAAATTTCAAAGATATCTAGCCACCTAAATGTACCATGATTCTGAATATCAATCAACACTTCGCACTTTCAAAGTTCAATCACAAATACACCTTGCAATGAACATAACCATAAGGTTATCACAACACCTTTAGACATAAACTCAAATATAATGTGCATGGACTATAAAACTTATTTAAAAATAATACTTTAATATAAAATTATTGCTTTGAAATAATTATTTATATTTTAGAAAACTAACCATGAAGAAAATACCTCGTCGCCCTTAGCGGCTTTCTCATGAACAAAATGAATGTCCATCTCAATGTGTTTTGTGCGTTGATGTTGCACAGGATTCCCAGAGAGGTAGATGGCACTCACATTGTCATAATAAACGAGAGTTGCTTTCTGAATAGGAAAATAAAGCTCAAGTAATAAATTTCTAATCCAACAAAAATCAGAAACCACATTAGCAACTCCACAGTACTCAGCCTCTGCACTTGATTTTGACAGTGTAGGCTGCCGTTTAGAGGACTCGGAAATCAAATATCACCAATCAAAACATAATAACCTGAAGTAGATTGCCTGGTATTGGGGAATCCCCCAATCCGCATTGGTATAAGAGACAAGTCTATCAATGGAGGACTTATACAGATTCAAACAATAAAACAAAGTACCTTGTAAGTAACGTATAATACACTTCAAGGCACCCATATGCGCATTGCGTAGATCATGCATGTGAAGGCAAACCTGTTAAACTGCATATGAAATATCAGTAAAAGTGAGGTATTGAAGAGCACCTACAAGATTCCTATACTTATTCGGATCCTCATATGGAGTATCATGAGTGGCACTAAGCTTGAATATTGTGTCAACAAGAGTAGGACAAGAGCTACAATAGACATGCCAGCCCTATCAATAATAGAAGCATTCATACTATTTCTGGAATAAAAACATACCATTAGCATTGCGAGTCACAAAAATGCCCAAAAAGAAGCTTAGTGGACCTAAGTCCTTCATTGCAAATTTGGAACTCAAAAAGGCCATAACATGTTTTCACAGACGATCATAAGATGCTGTGAGAATGATATCAACATATAACATAATATAAGCAATATCATATCCTTTCCTGTAAATGGACAAAAAGTTATCAGATTTACTGTTAGTAAATGCAATAGATGTGACATAATCTGCAAATTGTTGATACCAAGTCCGATGAGTCTATTTCGCAACAAACACACATGATCAGGGCGACTTTTGTCGCAAAAACCCATCGGCTTATGCATATAAACTATCTCATTGAGATAACTATGGAGGAAAGAATTCTTGAAATCCAATCGATGGATGGGCCAAGAGTGAGATAAGGAAATGCTGAGAACAGTACGAATAGTGGCCTGTTTGACAATCGGACTGAAAGTCTCATCATAGTTAATATTCTGCTGCTGAGTCTTGCCATCACCTACAAGACGGGTCTTATACCTTTCAAAAAAAACCATTAGAATTTCGTTTGTGATGAAAAATCCACATATAAATAAAAATTCACATTAGGGGGCTAAGGTACCAAATCACATGTATGATTATCAATAAGAGCATTATATTCATCTAACACTGCACTCTTCTAATTAGGGTCACAGATAACACCAATCAGGTCCTTTAGTATAGGAGAAATGGTGGTAGTGGTGGTCGTGTTTAAATTGTTAAAGTACTTTGGGTTAGGTTTAATAATGCCATCCTTAGCTCGTGTACTCATAGGATGAGATGTGGTGGCTGGCTGGCTAATGGTGGGAGTATGGTGGTTTGGCGAGACATGGTCGGCATAGGGTGACACAGGAGGTGGGATTGTGATAGTTGGGGAGCTGGGAGTCATTAAAGGGGAATGATCATCACTTCTTAAGGAACTGGTGATTGGACTGTCAAATAAGGGAGGCCCAAAAATGGGTGGGTGATGAAGGGAGGGCTGTAGCGGGCAACTGTGACAGTACCTAGAGGGGTTGGGCCAGAGGAGTAGGCACCAAACGAGGGGGGAGGTCCAGACCGCACATTAGGAGGTGTGGGCTGGGCTGGAGAATGTGGGGGTTTGGGTTGAGTGGTGCGCAAATGGGGAGGGTGATCTGATGGATTAAAATCCAAAGAATCATAAGCATCAGATTTCGGTGTGTGAACTTTTGAGAACGGAAATTCGTTTTCAATAAATTTCATATGCCTACAAATGGTTATTTTGCCATTGGATAAGTTGTAGCACTTCGAACCACAATGACTTGGTGCAGGGCCAAGATAGACAAAAGGTGTGGACCGTTCTTGTAATTTATTAATAGTAGTATAGGGAAAAGGGGAAAATGTAATAAGCAAACCAAGACACCTAATTCCGAATAGATTGGATCACGTTGGTAAAAACTTAAGTTGGAGACTTAAAACCTAAGACTTTGGTCAGAAGGATGTTGAGAAGATAAGTATCCATAGCTAGAGCATGATGCCAAAGTGAAAATGGCAAAGAGGCATAAGCAAGAAGGGTCTGAATGATGTTATTTATTGATTTTATGTGGCATTTAGCTTTTCCATTTTGAGGAGATGTCTAAGGACAATAAAGACAACAGAGCATGCCATGGTTTTCAAAAAAACACTTTAAGAGAACTGTTAACATACCCGGTGCCATTATCACATTGAAAAGTCTTAATGTTACTGTACGAAATATTTCAAGCATTATCCCTAAACTTGAACCCCACTGTGATCACACTTAAGTACGGTGGCGTCCAAAGGGAAAGAAGATAGAGCAAAAGAGTCGCTAACAAGTTTTAGGAACTTGTAAACCGTTCGCAGGGTGAAGGTTACACCCCTTAACGATCCAGGAGATCGTTAACTCCAATAGGTTTGAACCATGATTGGAAGTTCGGGGATAAAAGTACAAATCCAACCTAAAAGAGATTGAACCTGCCCTAATAATAGGCCTTTACTTTATTCTGATCGTATTCATGTGCGCTTTCTGACTAACATGCAATCAATAGGTTTACCTTAAACCTGTTTATCTATGTTGGTTGAATTTAATGCACAAATAAACTATTATTGGCGATCACGTGAATTATAATTAAATTAACCCTAAACAAGATTATTAATTATCTTATTAAGCATGATTACAAGTACCAATTTCCTTTAAACATGCATAAAAGGTGTGATCAAGCAATAACAATAAATATATATCAAGCAACATAATAATAATCATAAATAATAATAATTATAAAAAATAATAATCATGTTAAAGCTTAATAATAGCAAGATCCTAGGCATGATACTAACAAGATTAATAAAAACCCTAGCATGTCACTAAACATATAAAAATCAAAGCTTAGCCCTAACATGATACTAACATGAATATTAGGAAGAAAATAGGAAGCATCGCAAGAATCACAATTATCATATTTGATATTAGAAATTATAGTTATTATCCTAAACATGATACTAGGAAAATTAAAACGCCCTAACATGATGCTAGGAATCATAATAACAACCTAAGCATGATTTCTATATCATAATATCAATAAACCAATTAAAGCACTTACTTGGATGCCTCGTATCTCTTTCTAATAACAAAATACACGCGTTAGTAACTTCAAGGAATAATAAAACAAATAAATTAAATAATTAAAAGAGAGGTTTGGGACCAAACCATCAGAAATTAAAACCTTTCACGTCTAGGGCGAAGGCAACTTCGAACTTGGCTAGGTGTTTCTAGATCTTGTGAATGCGGAATTTTATTTGAGAAAGGCTAGTTTAGAAAAGAGAAAGAAAAATCAAGAGAATATTGAAGAGAGTATTAGAATTGAAAACTAGAGAGTTGATAAGAAGAATTGATAGAAATTGATGATAATTGATGATTGAAAAAGGGGAGACATGACCTCTATTTATAGAGAAAAAAGAGGGTCGAAGAATAAGAAAAGAATCCGAATCGAAATAAAACTCGATGAACAGCAGGTTTTGCGGATTTTATTTTTATCATATCTTTTGATCCAGAAGTCCAAATAAGGCATAAAATATGTCGTTGGAAAGCTCTTGTAGTCTACTTTCCAACCCAATTGGAATCAGATTAAAATATTTTTTAGATAAAAATATATGGCCGAAATAGTAGGACTGTATCAGTTTTGGATAGAGTTTCATATCTCATTCATATCTTTTTCGTTATAACTCGAATTTAATATTATCATATATCATTGGAAAGATAATTTAAATATATATCCAACCATATAATATGTGGATAAATATTATGAGTCACAAAAATAAAATCTGGCTGTCTTTGAACATCTTTAAATTCGAATAGAATTAGGATTTAAAAAAAAGAAAGTTTTAAAAAAGGAAAGTTTTTATTTAACTCAAATTCTTTAATCTTATCTTTTCAAAAAGGATAATAAAGATCTTTTAGAAACTTATAGAAGCTTCTAATTAATCCTAATTAGTTTAGGAATAGGATTAAACCTTTGGACCTCCACATGATCATTGGGTCGTAGGTAAAATCCGGTTTGGGCCCAGTTTAGTATTTTGGCAATAACTTCCTCATTATTCATCGAAATTGGGCTTATAATATATCGTTGGAAATCTATTTTCAAGCCCATCCAACTACACCATTATTGGACCCATATCGTGGAATAAACTAAATTGTAATGCACGTTTTTCAAAAATAGGGTAAGAAAAGAAATATTTTAAAAAACAGAAAGAAGAGATATTTTAATAAAAACATCTTCATCAGTAGACTTTTCACACTTTCGCTTTATTCGATAATCAAATGACGTGAAAGGTATTCATCACTGGGTTTGGTTTTGGGGAGACACATTTGGGTGTCTACAATTACGTTCAAATTGAGTTTGGAGTCTTATGAAAAGATTGAAATAAATAGGATAAGTCCATAAATTTGCTGTAGTCATCAAGAAACAATAGATAATAACAATGACTAGAAGAACTAGTAATAGGAGAAGTCCAAAAATCACTATGGATAATATCAAATGGAAAAGCAGTGTGTGTCGTAGAATCATAAAATGGTAATTTGATTTGTTTCCCTAGAGGACACAAGAACAAAAAGAGTTACAAGCCTTATTACATTCAATAAATTTTTGACTACTTAAAAAGATCTAAAAACATCATCTCTAGGACAACCTAATCTATTATGCCAAAGATCGAAAGAAAGAGTAGTACAATTTGAATGTTTGACTGAAGAATTGGCTCAACTGTTGGAAAAGATAGGATAGAGGTCACCAGTACTATCACATCTCATTATTTTGGCCCCCGTCTATAAATCATTCACAGAAAAACCATAAGGGTCAAATTCAATGGAAACTATATTGTTAGTTGTGAATTTACAAACGGATATCAAGTTCTTTATAATTTTGGGAGCATGCAAAACATTGTTTAAGGTAAAGGGAGGATATGGGGAGGGCAAAGTAGCACTACCATGACTAATAATTGGAATTAAATTACCACTACCAACAACAATGTTATAATTTTTAATGCTCTAATTTACATAAGATGAGAGAATACCTTGGTTGGCCGTCATATGAGATGTTGCTCTGGTGTCCATATAGTAGTTATTATCCAACTGGGATAAATTAGCAAGCATATGCATCGCGGCTTCAATATCTATAGGAGATGGATTTGGAGCTGTGTTGTTAGCACTGTACGCCCGTGGGCGTCAACCTAGTATGCCAGGCCCATGCACCTGGCCTTAACCAAGCTTAAGAAACAAGAGGCCTTGCAACCCAAGATTGAGACGGACATGGGCAAGGGGGTTGGGCCACTGAGCTAGCCATGACGTCCAAGATGCAGGCCACAAGTATGGATCCTGCTGAAAAGTCCAATGCTGCCCATTAGATGGGCCAGATTGGTGCTAGGCCGGTCCACTATTGCGAGCCTTTCTAGAAGTCTTAGAAAAAGATTTCTTTTGCCTACTACCTTTATTGTTCGACCTCGAGGAGTTCACAGAAGACTCGGAGTGATGCTGGCCGCTGGAGATGGAGATGAGGGCGGTCGGTGAGCGGCTAGTGGACCCCCCTTCCTTAGCAAAGCGGTTTTTGATGGTCCGTTCAGCTAATTTTAGGCGGGAACGACAACTTTCAAAAGAGGGCAATGATTCCTGATTTTGAATAAAGT